ACCGCTACTTACTACCACCACCCTGCATGAGAAGCTGGGAGGAGGACCTCCAGCAGATGTTCACAGAAGCAAACTGGACAAGATGCCAACTCTCATCCAGAAAACTCTGGTGTCAACACGGCTACATGAGAATATCTATAGGATCTTAATGAGGTGGTACCTGACCTCGTCCACACTACATCGGAGGGACCCATGTAGTGGAGGAGATAGAGGCACATTTCTACATGTGTGGTGGACATGCTGATGATCACGCTGTTCTGGGAAACAATCAGTAGTGGGGAGACTATCGGAGGAGCCACCTCCAGTGAAACCAGCGACATACTTGCTACACCACACAGCCAATACAGTACAGAGCTACAAATGCTCTTAAACCGGCTAAAGTGGTGATCCCGACCTATTGGCAGATGCAGACACCTACGATAAAACAATGGATTGAAGAGCCAGAGTACACCAGAAAATTTGAAGACCTGAAAGCCGCCATGGTCAAGGAACGAGAAAGATATAATCATCGGTGGTTCTGCTGGCTGGAATTCCTAGCCTCAGCAGACTTTGCCAAACTTGCAAATGGCTGACTATCACTATCACCCCCCCTCACCCCCACATCTTGCTCTGCAGTCCTCCTGCCCTCTTTCCCTCTCTTCTCTCATGTCATTTTCTCTTCTTCATTCTTCCTCCCTAACACTCTCGACCACATTTCTCAATGCAGAGTGCCATTCGGCTGGTGCACCTCCGGGTCGGCGTGCCCAGTCTGGGTTGCGGCAGCCTGGACTGGCTTAGGGGTGGGGACAAAGGAGAGTACACACCTTACAGGATCACAACATGCTCAGTATGGGTAAAAAGGTACTCAGTTGACAGACCACAAAGATGAAGGTCATACTGGTTACAACCTGACGTTTCAGGGCTAATATGTTATCACAGCCTATGGTTATTGGATTACTCGGTTTTAAATGTTATTTTTCCTCTGCATAGGAAATTCAGTCTTTTACACACTTGCTGTATCAATAAAGATCTTTTTCACACAAAACATGTACAATTGCCTCCATCCTAAAAGGGACACTATAGTCACCAGAACAACTACAGCTAAATGTATTTGTTCTGGTGAGTAGAATCCTCCCTTTAAGTAAACACACTTTCAGAGAAAATGCAGTGTTTATATTACAGCCTACGGAAGCCTCCACTAGCCACTCCTCAGATGGCTACTAGAGGTGCTTCCGGGGGCAGTGAGTGTGCAGCACTGTAATTCAGGGTCTCCACTCTCTTCATGGAGACACTGAACTATCCTTATAGAGATGCATTGATTCAAGGCATTTCTATGAGGAGATGTGGATTGGCCAGGGCTGTGTTTGGATTGTGCTGGCTCTGCCCCTGATCTGCCTCGACAAGCTCAGCCAATCCAATGCTTTGGATGTAAAAACTTCTGATGATGTCAAGCAGGCAGGTTAGAGTCAGAAGCAGCAGCACACTGAAGTAAAGGTAAGATTTTGCTATATTTAGGGGGGCCAGAGGGGCTAGATGGTGGTTTTAATACTACAGGGTCAGGAATACATGCTTGTGTTCCAGACCCTATAGTGTTCTTTTAAAAGGTTAAATGAGACCATAAAACCTATTGGGCGTATATCACCTACCATGACATCTAAAAGTATAACAAACCCACTACGACTACATTTTACCTAATGGAGGCTCTCCATTGTTTGGTTGTTCCTGGATGCAAGTTTTAGGCATATCAAAGTTACCACAACAGTTTCTTCTTCTTAACCTAATGGACCAAAATAACAGTTCAAGCTTAACTTGGGTTAGAGCACTAACGCAAAAAAATAAGAATGTATTTGATTGGGTACTAGGTTTAGTCATAGGCAAGCATATCCAGCTTCACTTAATGGCAAATACTATTCCAAAACTTTGTAAACTAAGAATTGTAATGAAACCTATAAGTGTAGCAGAACTGAAGCGACTACATCAACGTATTATTACGGTTGCTAGCAGTGAATGCAAGCACCCAAACAGCAGTCTTACTGTAAACAGGAATTTTCAGGGATGGTGGCATATGTTTTGGAACTGTAGACTACCCGATAGCGTAATGGAGAAACAGGGTATAAATATGGAAAACAGGCCAGTGATACCTAAACCTGGTGCATCAATCCAGTACTTACGTTAAAATTGCATCATAGAGTGAAGGGAAAAAAGTATTTGATCCCCTGCTGATTTTGAACATTTGCCCACTGACAAAGAAATGATCAGTGCATAATTTTAATGGTAGGTATATTTTAACAGAGAGAGACAGAATAACAAAACAAAAAAAACAAACAAAAAAAAATCCAGAAAAACGCATGTCAAAAAAGCATTTTAATAGGACCAGGAAAGATGGACCGGTAAGTTTAGTTGTAAGCTAGATCTCACTAGTAACTTTGTAACATCTGGGAATATTTTCTTGTCGACAACTAGTTTAAGTTTTCCACTGATACATATGGAAACAGACTTCCAAAAACTAAAAGGCTATTTGCAGTTGAAAGCTGAAAATATAAATATACAACAAATTGCAAAGTCAGATGACACATGGAACTGACCAGGAACATAAAGACCAAGACATGGTTTTATATGAAGACTAGGACTTAAGAGGTGTACACTAAAACATATGGTGGATACATTAAAAAATAAATAAACAAAGTGTGGTCTGTTAGGCTGGGGTGACCAAAGACAGGAGATCACTATCCTGTTCCAGTATATTCTCCAAAAATGGGGTACAATACAAAACAGCCAGCAGGAGACAGATAAAAACAGAATTTAGCAGTCTAACCTGGGTCAGTGTAAATATACTTTACTTTTCCATATAATCATATGCTTTTTTACAATTTTTTAGCATTTCCTGTGTGAAGCAATGGGAATAAATTAGATTTCCTGTTTTGTTAGGAGTACCATTGATAGTGTTAACAACTGTAACAGAATGTTCACTAAACCCTGTGTGGTGACACAAAACTGGGTTCACTATGGTTAGAACAGGTACATCATATTTATCAGGTCCAAGGTAACTGCCTGCAAGAAACTACTTACTGCAATTAAAGAAAAATCGGTGCCTTTATAACCTCACACCTAGGCCACAGTATTCTGTTAGGCTGATTCCTCTTCACTTCCCCTCTCTACAGGTGAAGCTGGACATCCCAGAGAGTGGGCTGATAGAATGATTTGGGAGTGCGGGGATGGGTGTTTGAGACTAAAGATGCCTAATATGCACAAAATTGAGTCCCAGACTGGCTAATGAAGCTGCCGGAGGTGAAGTTAATCTCCGACAGCAAAAGGGTCAAACCCAAATATCAAACTAAAATGTTATACATACAGACTTCAAGCACCATGACCACTTAAGATCAGTTAAGTCGTCTAGCTGCAGAGGTCCTTTATATTAATTCTGCAATGTAAAGTATTGCTGTTTAGTAGATACTGCAATGCTTTCTGTGCAGAATTAAATACAACTCTAGTTAGGTTCTTTTGCAGTGAGAACAGAGTCAAATTGGCTGCACACATGCTTTTTTCCATCCCCAATGCTGTTTAATTAGGAGCATTGGACTGGACGTTTAAAAGTGTGTGCGTGACATTGCGGGAGAAGAATTAAGCAGCTGCAGGGATTATACTGGCATTGGGGGGGACGGGGGGACACAAACTTAAGTAATGGCATTTATTTCAGTTTAAAAAAAAAACAACAAATATATATTACATACCTAGAGAGTTGTGGTGTTCCTCATTCTGATGAGTTGCATTAACAACGAAACAGCTGTCCATGGGTGGTTCACTGGCTTTGCTCCTCTTTCTGAGTGGTGTTTCAAAACTGTTGTAGACAGCAAATACATACTCCAAGGAATCCATGTATAAAGTGAAATTGAGGCAAAAGTGTAGTTTGTTGAGCTCATTTGCATACACCTACCCAGAATCCCTTGCAGTAGTGAGAGCACTGTTAAAGTGAGATTTATATGAGAAAAGCAAGTCTTATGGCTTGACGTGTGTGTATTTGTCTATATATATATATATATATATATATATATATATATATATATATATATATATATATATATATATATATATATATATATATATACATACATACATACATACATACACACACATATATATTTATATTATTTTTTGTGCTTGAGAATAATAAAGATAGCACATTATACGCTTTGAGGGTTGCAAAAAGACAAAATAAGTGTATATGTACAAAAGCACAGTTTGAGAAAAAGAAAAATGAGTAAAACATTAGTAGTCACGTTAGAGATATTTCAGTTTTTATCTAGATTAAAGTGATACTATTGTCACCAGAACAACTACAGCTTAATGTAGTTGCTCTGGTGAGTATAATAGTTCCCTTCAGGCATTTTCATGTAAACACTGTCTTTTCAGAGAAAAGGCAGTGTTTATTGCCCTAGGGACATCTCCAAGTGGCCACTGGAGGGGCTTCCTGGATCAAGTCTGCACAATAAGCAGCCCTGCTGTTTAGCATCCCTACGCTCTGCATGGAGACGCTGAATTTTCCTCATAGAGATGCATTAATTCAATGCATCACTGTGAGGAGGTCCTGATTGGCCAAAATAGCATTTGACTGTTTTAGACTTTTATAGGGGGGCAAGCCACCTAAATGGTGGGTTAAACACTAGAGGTTCAGGAATACATGTATGTGTTCCTCACCCTATAGTGATCCTTTAAGATACAGGTTTGTATTCTTAATGCTAAAGTGTTCCTTTCAGATATTTTTCAGAATGAATTTCGGAATATACGACTGAACAGTTAAAAGATTGGGTCACTGAGTTAATTTTACAATTGTAAATTGGACAGCAAGCTAATGCTATGGTATCTGCATCAAAAAGAAGCATCACTGCTCTAACACAAAGTAAATTAACTAATTCAGATTTGGCGAGTGCACGAATTATAGATAATACCCTTAATTTGAATATGATATTTGTGATGTAGTTAAAATAGGAAGAGGAAAGAAAGACAATATGTAAAAATAAATGTATCTTTTTAATTCTTTATTTTTTTAAAACTTTTTCTTAAAAAACAAAACAAAAAAAATTAAACAAAAAAACAAAAACAAAAACCCTTGTGAACCACCAAACTTTAATTTTTTTATGGTTGAAGTGAAATGCGCAAGGAAAGGCACCCTCACTGCCCCTCGCTCAATTATTTGTTCATGTGGACTAAGGTACAAGAAATATTAAAATAAAATATATAGCCATTAAAAGGTTTATATAACTTTAAAAACAAAAAAATAGAAGAAAAAAAACAGAAGAAATGTCCTCTTTTGACCAACGTCTTTACAATACATTTCAGCTATTAAAACAGTCTTGATTCAGTCATTTCCCATTGTAGAAAAAAAAAAAAATATCAATGTACAGCTGTGAAGCAAAAAGGAAACAATACTTGTGTCCAACTGCACTTCATAGATTTGCATATGAGGCTCCAACCAGATTGTTTTATGTAATAAGAGTTTACATGAAATGCAGTTACATTTTGCAACTTATGCAGGTCAGAAGTTTTGTCACACGATAGAACACTAGAGGATATACACAGGCTGTGTATAAAGGCTTCTTTTCCGCATTCAGTTCCACAAGTCCCACAGTACACTGAGCAATGGTCAAGAGTGAACAAAATAATCTTCTAAAATCATCTCAAGTCTTTTTTTCCTTCTTTAACATGTTTTGTTTTATTTATTTTTAAATGAGATTTCAGCTCAACCATAAAAAGAGATTTCGCGCCTTTCCTTTCAAAGTCTTTTCAGACTAAAAATATATTTATATATATTTATATATTTTTGTATTTATTTTTAATACTTCCCCCATTTTCTCTTTTATTCGGGGATGTAGATGTTTTGTAGACTGAGGGCATCGTCCTCTAAGATCACTGATCTGAAGTGAGTGAAGTCCATCAAAGAAATACTCAATTTAAATAACATGAATCCCAAGAGAAGTCATTGTTCAGACAGAGAATGGAGCAGAGGTTTTCTCCGAACTGCTTTGTGATGATCCCCTTTACCTTAAAAGCTTTATCTGAAAAACACAACAAAACTTATTACACCAAAATATCAGATGTAAAATATCCATACATGATTCACTATTGGTTAAAAAATATGAAGCAATATGATGCACTTTTCAACAAAGGTAATACTGCTTAAAAATATTTAGGTTTTCATTTTTAAATAAATAATATCCTGTTCCACAATGAATTTACTACTTTTAAATGGGACACTCCAGGCTGAAGTGGATGAATTCATTTTCAACCCCATAACAAAGAGTTAGGCAGTCTCTTTATATGACAACACTCCAGCTATATCATGTCATAATGGAGTTTGTTTGAGAAAAAAAAAAAGATTTTCAAAGTAATAAAAACAGGAAACCAAAACCACAAGTGAAGTTCCTACATTTGCTGCATCTAAAATTCACTCTCACCAAGCCAGGTAATAAAGTTCACACATTTGTAAAAAAAAAAAAAAAGAAAAAGAAAAAAAATGTTTACAAATAACAAAACATCTTTTCTTCCTCGACACGGTGCTCTCTGCCTCCTGGGTGAGATCAATCTTGATAAACAGCCAATCCAATGGTTTCCCATAGGAAAACATTGAGGCTAGTTTGTATGTGTGGCACAAACCAAATGTTCTTTGTAAGTAAATCTTCTAAAGGAAATAGTGGAGTTTTATTAGGCTATTTCAGCAGAAGTGCTTCTAGTGGCTGTACTTACATGAGAGCACCTGCAGTGCTTCTTCAATTAACACGATAAAAACGAGAACATTTGCCACACACACATACACACACACAATGTTAGGGAAATAAGGAAGAAGTATATTGCCCCTTTCTTCTAGTTTTACACACTAAACAGTAAATCAGTCTTGGAATAACTACAAAACACAGTAGTGTAGGTGGCATGAACCACTAACTACCATTACAGTAAATTGTACACCTTTACCAGTGTATCACTTGGGTTAAGGTGCAATGTTTGGTTACATGAAAACACAATTATAAACTTATCACAGTGTTTGCCTTTAATTTTGCCAATTATTTCACAATTAATTATTTAGCATAATTGTGCACTGACATTTTCATTCCCTACATACAGTTTCATATTTCAATATGACTAATTACTTCCAATGGAGGGAAAAATTTAAAAATAAAAACACCCCTCACCCCCCTCCACAAACAATGACCTTGAAACCACTCCACTGACTAAGCTCAAATACTTCACTATAGACCTTCAGATTTCAACCTGGCAAAAATCAGGCATTATGAAAGTATACCAGCTTTATTCTGAAATGGTAGTCATTTCGTTCCCAGAAATATTGCAACATTATACTCTTCCCCCAAATTCTTTACCATCACGAGGATAAAACGTTTCTTGAGGCCAGAAGGTAGCCACAAAAAAATATGCTCAACTTAACAAATTTAAACATATAGCCTTCAACTGCAAGTCCCACTGTAAACCTTTTTCTGCATGCTATAAACCGTTACTCCACACCACCTCTAAAGGAAAACTTGGATACATAGCAAATACATGTGAAAAAGACTTTCCAAAATTCTCTTGGAAGATAGGCATACAGCAGTAAACAAAATGAAGACCTTTAAATGTTTCAGTCATTTTGAAGTGAGCATCCTTAGATGGTACTTCAACCTTGCCAGGCTAAAAACACATTTATCTTTAGGACTCAACCTGATGGAGATGCAAGCATTCCTGCAGAGATATCCTCCACATTTTTCTCCTGTCCTCAGCTACAATCATATTGGAATGACACCCATCACTTAATTGAAGCGGCTACTGGTATTAGGGTCCCAACCTCTCCTGGAATAGCTCTATTGCTATACAGTTTACTGCCTGACATAACAGGTCACCGGAATACTTTGGCTCGTCATACACTTATGGTAGCTAACACATCAATTGCACAAAAATGGGAATACAGTTGTCGACCTACAGTTGAAGAAGCAATGTCTTCCTGTAGTAGAGACATATTTTAGTTTCAAATTGAGTAATCAGTTACCAATCAGGTAATACATTTCAAATAATTTCTGTATGATTATCACTAATTTTTTAGGCTATTTGCTGGTGTGGACATGTATATATTATACCTCACGTATCTATATCACTTACTTTAGGGGTGCCCAAAAGGTAGATCCCCAGATGCCATTCTAAAGGTATTTTCAAAGGCATACAAAGCTTCATGGGAGTTGTAGTTCTACAACATCTGGCGATCACCTCTGACTAACGTGTATTTTGAAGCTTGGGGATTTCTATTACTTTTATGGGTTTAATCCACAGTGCAGACTGTTATGTCCCTGTTCCATCAGTTATGGTGTATTTTTTTGGTTGCTGCCCACTAAGACTTGAGGAGAGGTTTAAGCACATGTTGGGCATATTGACCATATCAAGGGAGAACTATGAATCATTAATTAATAATCAGATTTATAATGCAACAAAAACTTTACAAACACAGATTCCAAAAGACAAACTGGGAGGACAGACCACCTCAAATACAGGAGGAATGACGGAGTCAAAGTTACAAATATATTGAGTATGCATTATCTCTACTGACAAACAACAGATTCCCATTTTTTTTTAACTAAAGTATTCTATAAGAAGAGTTAGAGGAATATAGAAAACATACATTTATTTTGCTTTATCTTTGTATCATAACACAATATTCCCTGTACAATATATATCATAGCTAGTATAACCTATGATTTATTGTTTACAACTACTATGGTATAACCACTCCACAAGTGTTCTATTGCATTTATATATTGAGAGTGTCCTCAGTATAAAAGGGTTAAGTTACAAAATATGAACTATTTTATCTTTATGTCCTTAAGAAAAAGGACATTTATTGGTTTATAATGCCTGAAGAAATGCATTCACTTATTTTTGCCATTAAAGACATAAGATTGAAATCCTAGGAAAATAGGTCATTTAATGACATGGTCCAGAGTTGAACTAAATTTATACATTGACAACAGTGCCCCTACAGGTAGTAGTAGGAATTTCTTAGAGAAATGTGAGAGAGTAGTGACATCATAATGCAAGTGTTGTGAGTTTCCTAGTGGATTCAGGGGGGCTGATCATTTGAGCCAAACTGATTAACAACAATGGGTGAGTTATGTCAGTGAGTGTCTTAACTGAATCACCACAACTAAAGAAAAAGAGGCGACTTTCCATAGAAAGATGTGACAAAATAATTCATCTTCAAATTTACTGGGTAAAATATAACTTTATTACCTACATACAGATTCTACAAACCATACATCAGACTAAAAAATTGTTTGTTTTTTTTAAAGTCTTTATTTTTTTATTGTGCACAAGATAACATAAGAGATGACAATGCCACAACAGCATAGTACAAAGCCTATTAAAACAAGGTATTTCACATATGTCATGAAAGTATTGGCACTTTTAAATTTTTTTAAATGAGAATAAGCAAGCTAGGTACACGCGTGTAACGTTAAATCACCAGAGTTAAAAGCAATAACATCAGCATGCATGTCAAGGTGGACATAGGCAGATTAACTTAATAAGGTGCACAATTGAGTGTCAGTACACTCTGGCAGCATGACTAGTCTGGATAATGCTTCAGAGTTAAAGGGACACTATAGTCACCCAGACCACTTCAGCTCAATAAAGTGGTCTGGGTGCCAGGTCCCTCAGGTTTTAACCCTTCACGTGTAAACATTACAGTTTCAGAGAAACTGCCATGTTTACATTTGGGGTTAATCCAGCCTCTAGTGGCTGTCTTCTGGACAGCTACTAAAGGCGCATCTGCGAATTTCTCCTCCATCGCGCAGAGTGTCCATAGGAAAGCATCTAGAAATGCTTTCCTATGGACACTTTGAATGTGCGTATGCGCATTCGGCTCCAGTGACGGACGGGGAGAGGTCACCAGCGCCGAGGGAGCCCAGTGCTGGATTAAGGTAAATGGCTGAAGGGGACCCTGAGGGTGGGGGCATCCTCAGGGCACTTTGTTTTTCTGACACTATAGTGATCCTTTAACCGGTCTAAGATAGACATTAAACGGACACTATAGTCACCAGAACAACTACAGCTTATTGAATTTGTTCTGGTGAGTAGACTCATTACCTTTAGGCTTTTTGCTGTAAACACTGTCTTTTCAGAGAAAATGCAGTGTTTACATTACAGCCTAGTGATAACTTCGCTGGCCACTCCTCAGATGGCTGCTAGAGATCCTTCCTGGGTCATGGCTGCCTAAAATGCATCCAAACATTCAGTATCTCCTCCCTCTGCATGCAGACACTGAACTTTCCTCAGAGATTCATTGATTTAATTCATCTCTATGAGGAGATGCTGATTGACCAGGGCTGTGTTTGAATCATGCTGGCTCTGCCCCTGATCTGCCTCTTTGTCAGTCTCAGCCAATCCTATGGGGAAGCACTGTGATTGGATCAGGCTACCACTTCTGATGTCAGCAGACTGCTTGTTTTTTGTTTTTGTTTGTTTTTTAGGCAAACAGCATGCAGATCTACAGCATCTGGCTTGAATACAGTAAGATTTTGTTTTATTTATGGAGGCATGAGGGGCCCAGGGGGCTAGATGGTGGTTTTAACACGATAGGGTCAGGAATACATGTTTGTGTTCCTGACCCTATAGTGATCCTTTAAGGAGACATACTATGTTTCATGAGCATCATAAGCCTATTATAAATGAATAATTACAATTTAAAGTGACAAGAAGAACACAGTGCAGATGAGAAGATCAGTAGGGTAGTATGTATGCAGGCTATATGCACTGGGAATCAGCTGCATAGAGTAGACAGCGACTAGCTGTATAGGCAGACAAGCTTTGAGTAAAGACCCCTCAGAGGCTCCCCAAGCAGGCTATGAATGAAAGCCCCGGAAAAGAAAGTAAAAGCTAGAAATAAAAATAAGCACAATAGCTGGTTTGTTGGCAACATGCATTGCCAGGATGTCCTGTCAGAAAGAGGTAGACCCTGATCCAGCCTTGGACTTAACCCCCTGTCCCGCAGGGGCCGTGTACAGACCCTACACAGAAGTCCCAGCACGAGGCTCAGCGGTCCACTTGCGTGGTGATGTTGGGTTGCTGTGTGGCAATCAGGTAAGTCCCGTATAGGTAACAGGGATCCCCTCAATGGTCCCATGATCCAGCAGGCTGTGCATCTCGCTGTGAGTATCGGCCTATATCTTCGGGCCCCGATGTAGCAGGAGCTCTCTCCTCCCTGTTAGGCGCAGTCTGAGGACTCATTGTGCTTGTCTGGCTCTTTGGGGCAGCAGGCCATGGGCACATTCGGGTTTTTCATTCACAAGGTGCAGAACATAGTTGTGATGACTTGAAGGAGCGCGCAGCACCCGTCATCTTGGGTTTGCGTGAGTGCCGCGTGTCTTCAGTGTTGCCAGGGAGTCTCTAGGGAGCAGATCGGGATAACCCCCACCGGTCCAAGGGGGTTGGGGGGGGGCAACCGGAAGCACAGGTCTGGGGCAGAGGCAGAGATTGGCCCCATGCTTGTAAAGAACCAAAGCAACGCAAAATTAAAGAAGTTAAATTATATATATATATATATATATATATATATATATATATATATATATATATATATATATATATATATATATATATATTTATATTTATATTTGTGCTCGGAATTTAAATACGTGATGGATAGTAACTGTGAGCAAAGTTGGTTGTGGTGTGCCGAAACCAACGTACGAGTGGGCCTGTAAATAAAAGAGGGCCCACCAAGGATAATGTAGTTAAAACAGGGTGTAGGTGGGTGGGGACAATCAGCTGAGCGGCAGCGGTGAGTAGGGGCTGGGAGCTTAAGTAGGGGACTTACTCCTCCCACAAATTCAGGCCTAATGGCCTTTCTACTTGTGCTCGGAATTTAAATACGTGATGGATAGTAACTGTGAGCAAAGTTGGTTGTGGTGTGCCGAAACCAACGTACGAGTGGGCCTGTAAATAAAAGAGGGCCCACCAAGGATAATGTAGTTAAAACAGGGTGTAGGTGGGTGGGGACAATCAGCTGAGCGGCAGCGGTGAGTAGGGGCTGGGAGCTTAAGTAGGGGACTTACTCCTCCCACAAATTCAGGCCTAATGGCCTTTCTACTTGTGCTCGGAATTTAAATACGTGATGGATAGTAACTGTGAGCAAAGTTGGTTGTGGTGTGCCGAAACCAACGTACGAGTGGGCCTGTAAATAAAAGAGGGCCCACCAAGGATAATGTAGTTAAAACAGGGTGTAGGTGGGTGGGGACAATCAGCTGAGCGGCAGCGGTGAGTAGGGGCTGGGAGCTTAAGTAGGGGACTTACTCCTCCCACAAATTCAGGCCTAATGGCCTTTCTACTTGTGCTCGGAATTTAAATACGTGATGGATAGTAACTGTGAGCAAAGTTGGTTGTGGTGTGCCGAAACCAACGTACGAGTGGGCCTGTAAATAAAAGAGGGCAAAAGATAAATTCGAGAAAATACACACTTTATTGCATTTTACAAGACCAAGTTTCTGAAAGCTTGGCGAAGCTCTTTCTCTGGTTGCGGAATATATGCGTTATATATGGAGGATTTCCATCGCCCGAGCCTTTTGATGATGTGGACCGGTGCGTTTGTGCTTGAGGCTGCTGAGGCGGCTCCTATGCGGAAGGAGTGCCCGGAGAATGCAGCCGGGTTGTGTCTGAGCTTAGATAACAGGGTTCTGACATGTGACATCAATTTTGCCGTGGTAAGCGGGTGCCCTTGTAATGTTAAGAGCGGAGAGTCTGGCAGGTGAGTGCGAAGAGTTGACCGTAGTTGGTCGAGAACTTTCACCGGACACTAGGCATTATCAGTAGGGAAGAGAGGAATTATTGTAGGATGTATTGACCGGTTGGTTTTAGTGGTAGGGATAGAAAGGAGGTAGTGATCCCCTACCTTGGTGAGGTGTGAAGTTTTAAGGCATCGTGCGATATCTCCTTGACAAATCACTGTGAACTCTCCAAGTCTGAGAAAACCGTAGAAAGCGAGATATATGGCAGATTTTATCACCGTATTGGTGTAGCTAACAAATGGGGCTGTGTCAAGGAGATTGCTAAGAGAATCTAGTGCTTGCGAGTGGTGGTGACACCTTTGATATACCTTTCAAGACCTTTTTTATGGGGTATGAAGACAAAAAGGGGGTGCTGTTAGGAAAATTGGTGAGGCTGTGGTGCTGAACCCCGGTGAGGTAAAGTTTAATGGTGTTGTGTGACAGATTAAGGTGTAGGTGGCAAAAAGAGGCAAAAGACACCATGGTTTGGATAGAAAAGTCACCTTGTAGCCCGAATTCTGCAGTGAATTTGTTAAATATGTTAAGTGCCCTATTGTAAGTGATAGCAGTGTTGGGTGATAATGCTTGGTGAGTGAGTGATCTAGCGTGAAGCAAGAGTGTGCTTAATCCAATATTAGTTCGTGAAACCGTGGTGTCCTGGATGGCTGTTGGTGAGCTGCTGGGAGTGCCTGAGAAAATGCCTGGAATCGAGAACGAGAAAGAGCGTCAGCGGCGGTGTTGTGAATACCCGGGATGTGAGAACATACTAAGTGAAACTGATTGGATGCTGCCAGCCAGGTCAACTTGCGAATCAGCCGCATGATGGTCAGGGATGATGAGCGCCCTTTGTTAATGATATCGCAAGCTGCCGAGTTATCTGAGTAGCATTTTACTGCCTTGCCGGACCAGAGATGACCCCAGGTGTGTGCGGCCGCCACAATGGGGTAAATTTCAAATAGGGTTGAGGTCTCCCTGAATCCTGGCAAGGCATCCGTCTCAGTGGGCCAGTGGCCCCTAAACCAGTGGTTCCCGAAAATGGCTGCGAAACCGGTGTTGGCTGCTGCGTCCGTGTGGATGATGGGTGAAGAGGTGGAGAGAGGGGGGATAAACATGGAGATACCATTCCAGTCTTTCAAAAACTTCCCCCACATAGCCAAGTCAGCCTTGGCGTGGGGGTCCAAAGAAACTGTGCCGGAGTCCGGGACTCCATGGAGCAGGCAAAGAAGTCTGGAAATAAAAGACCTTCCCTGAGGAATGATGCGCATGGCGAAGTTCAGAGATCCAAGAAGGGACTGAAGTTCTCTCCTGGTGCAAACGTCACTCCGCAGGAAGGTGTCTATCTCCCCTCTCAATCGTGAAAGTTTGTCGTGTGGAAGGCTAGCTCTGAGTTTGACAGAATCGAGCTCTATGCCTAAAAAGGTCAACTTTGTTGTGGGTCCTATAGTTTTGGCTGGGGACAAAGGGACTCCAAGTGTGGAAAAAAGTGCGGTAGTACTATTGATTGCTGTGGGTGTTGATGACCCTGGCTCTATCAGTAGAAAGTCATCTAGATAGTGAATAACGGAGTGACACCTGATGACGTTCAGAAGCAGCCAGCATAGTGACTCTGCGAAAATGTCGAAAAGTTTGGGGCTGCTTCGCGAACCAAAAGTGAGTCGTGTTGAGAAGTAATAATACCCTCGCCATTTAACACCGTGTAAGTGCCAGAGTGAGGGGTGTATGGGCAGTAATTTAAAAGCGTTAGTGATGTCTGTTTTGCTGAGCCAGGGTCGATTACCAGATGTCATGATGGACTGTATGGCGTCGTCGATGGTGACGTACTGCAGAGAGAATTCGTCTGCTGGAATGAGTGCGTTTATGCTTGGAACAAAAGAGGAGTGCGGTGCCGATAAATCGATAATGAGACGTTTTTATTAGAATATTTGTGAATAGCAATACCAATAGGGTTAGTGCGCCAGGAGGAAAACGGTGAAGAGGTGAAAGGACCGATCATGAAACCATTTGTGGTTTCTGCGGAAATGAGAGTGTCTACAGCGACTGGGTCTAAACGTGCAGACTGGAGATTAGGACATTCTAGTGTACCTGGGGGAATGGCTATTATGCCTGTGTGAAACCCTTGTGAGAAACCTGTGGTGAGAAAATCCACTAAGTGCCTGCTGGGGTGAGACCTTAGATAAAAACCAGGTTGTCGATATTTATGTCGGTTAGTCATTTGTTTGGTGACAACCTGGCTGGACACATGGTCTTGGTATGTGCCCTGAAACATATGGAGCAGATGTGCAATAATCTACAGGCGCTGAAACTGCAGGAGCCTGCGTTGAAATTATTGCACACCTGTGCTTTACCTAAAAAGGAGATGGGCCTACCCAGCTTATCCCGGAGACCACCCGCTGGCTTGTTGTGAGGGGTGAAAGAGGAGTGAGGTGTGAACGTGGGGTGAGGGGTGAGAGTGGAGGTGGTGGGATCTGGTTCGACGGGACATAAGTCCGCCATGTGGGATGTAGAATTACAGATGGCACAAGCTGGGGGCCTGAGTCCAGCGAAGTGGCGACAGAAAAGTTCAGTGTCCATCTGACCCCAGTTCATTCTAATGTTGAACTGCTTGAGATGGGTCGCCGCCTTCGCTGAGACTGACTTGTGGTAGTCATAGAAGGAAGAGCCCCCGTACTTGATGCCTAGATGCACTACCTTGTGGAGATAGAGATCTAGCTCTTCTCTCCTATGGGGATACACCGTGCAAATGACGTCGCGGTATATCCCGAAAGCTATCACAAACTGTGGGATAGACAATTTTTTATTAAGCCTGGGATCCCTTGTTTTAAGCACAACAGAGATGTCACCATAATTGTATGCCTTGTTCTCGAGTACATCCTGAGAGGCTATGAGTAAAGACACCAGACACACATCCTTTCCGTCAAGGATATCTTTCCTGATAGAATCTGGGACGGAGTGTGCTGGTGACTCGAAAGGTGTGATGGCTGTGCCAGGTGCTGGAGGGGGGAGTATAGAGGGACATGAAGGTATGGCAGGTACAGCCGTGGTAGAGACTGGGACTACGGTGTTAGT